GGTGAGCTAGTGAGAATGCTGCGACTACAGCAAATGGGACCTGCGAACCTCTCGAGCTCAAGCTAAGCAAAATCAGCAGAAATACGCGCATCGGTCCAGCTTCGAATGGCCGAGGGTTACCTCATGTAGATTTATCCTGAAAGCACGCGAAGGGATCTTGCGATCTTGCGTGCGTGGCAGGTGACGTTGAGGGGATGACGATGTTGATGCGAGGCTGTCTCCTAGGTTGGAGTGAGGCTGTCTAGTTAAGTACTCGTATTTTTGAATGCGCGCATCGACAAATATCGTTGAGCATGTGGTACCGTGACGATGTGCGCTCGGATTTCGCAACCTCTTCTGACGATAGAGCGTTTGCTCTTGCGAAATGGCGCTGCGCATCTGGTGCGGTTTCGACGTGTCTTCCGACTTTTCGACGTTTCGGTGGACTCGGCAGGGTGCAGTCACGCCATACATACATACACACATACATACATACATACATACATACATACATACATACATTGAACTGCATACTGTGTGCATACGTACATGCATGTATAGGTGAAAGTGTCATCAGATTTGTCAACCTCTCGGTGGACCCGGCGTCTCCGCATCCTCCGGTCAGCGCGATCCACTGCAAATTTCAATGCATGGGCCAGTACATTGGGCGGAGCGAGCTGTCTCTGAATTCTGCCAATATATAGGGAAGGGTTTTGGCCATGCTCCTGGATGCAGCCAGTACTTGCGGGGAACATGTCGGTCGTGTCTGAGAATCCCGCCAGTACCTGGGGGAAGGATGTTTGCCGCTGTGGAATATCGCCAGTACTTGGGGGAAGGGTTCTGGGCGAGTCTCTGAGTCCGGCCAGTACATGCAGAGAATCATGTTGGTGGCCGTGGTCTTGAGTCACGCAGGTACATGTCAGAAAGCATGTTGATGGAAGCGGGTTTGTTGTCTCCGACTTCCGGCAGCACTTGAGAAAAAGCATGTGGGTCGAAGCATTGTAAAAGAGTTTATTTAAAGGTTTGGACTGGTTTATAGAAGTGTTTAAGAGGGCTTTGAAGAAAGGCTGGACAGAAGGGTTTATAGAAGCATTTATCCTCATCAAAGGATTTCGGGTTTCGGGCTCATTGGAGGGCTAGCTATTCAGTATAGATGGATGGAGGGAGGGAGCGATGGATGGATAACATGATGTTCGATGTTGGTTAGCTGCTCTACAGGCTTTCTGATTGTTCAGGCTTCCTATTCCGCTCGCAACTGAAAGCAAACACTGCTCGCTGGCGCGGCCTACTCCCCTAACAATCCGCTCAGACTCTCGTGCCACTACCACTGCTGCTTTTTCTGATGCAAAGTGGCGATCCATGATAGAGCTTCG